AAAAAAAAAATTTCGTACGGGACTCGCCGATTCTCGTACGATGAATCGGCGAGTCACTGTGCAGCGCCGATTCGATCCGTCCATGGCGATTCCCGGGTCGAACCGGAGTCGGTGTTTTTTTAAACAATGCATTCAAGCAATCCTCAAGTACGGTCCGATTCTTGATTTATGGCACAAAATCACCACTACACCGAACCACACAATTTTGTTAAGGGTGCAGTTTGATGGAATGGAGGCTCTAAATAATTAAATTAGAGCCTGCCTTCAAATAGTATCTAGAAATATGACTTCAATACCGAAAAGTTTAGTGAAAGCCTTAAATTGTATTTAATCTTTAGTTATAATATTTAAAGCTTAAAAAATAGTGTAGATTGTGCTGATCTATATAAACTTGAAAATCTTGAAATTGACAGTCCAAAAATACATTCCAAGATGCACTATTTTCAAAACTTGAACTCTATTTTTTTCTCATGTCCATACATCTTGATGTCGAGATGATAAATTTGATGATATTTGAACACCAAAAGAGATTCTTTTAGTGAAAGTTTTGAGGTAAGTTTTAATTTGATTGTTTAGTGCCTAGGCTCTATATAAACTTTTCCTTTTTGTCAAAAAGCCTTATGGACTCCCTCTGTTTGACGAGACATTGAGAGTACGAGGCACCTACGGTAAAACGTTCAATGGCCCATAATGTCTATAGCCACAGTAAATGTTTAATGGTTTAAATTGAATAGGGGCCTACTTAAAAGTAACGATTGTATTTTATATTTTAATTTAATTTTTTTATTTAAAAATTTAATTCATTTGAAATTTTGAACTTGTACTCTAAAGAACTAGGCAAACCTAATAAAAAGGTTTAACAAATAATTTTAAAAAATAAAATTAACCAAAATATTTATGAAAGTTGTAAGGGAATTTTGATCAATTTATTTTTTAAAAATAATATTTTTAATATTTTTATTAGATACACCTTAATGTGAATAGCGGTCGTTTTAAATTTCAAATTATTAAAATTTATAAAAAAATATATTAAAATTTATTTTGTAATCTATCCATATCCAATCCGAATCGATGATCTTATCCTATTGAGCTAGATGTTTTGCCGGGACGAGATTTTTCGTTTCAAATACCAGTCCGTAGTCCATACTCCACACCTTGGAATAATAACCATATTTATTGCTTTTTAGGGTGGTAATGACTCGGGCAGCTTGGGTTGGCCTGGTCAGTCCAGCCCTATGTCTGGGCTATAAAATGTAGTCCGAGGGCCAGGGCCAGGGCTAGGGCCAGCGCCAGGGCCAGGGCTGGGCAACTATAGTCCAAGTGTAGGGCTGCGCCGGGCCTGGGTCAATGCTCCCCCGTTAGCCTGACACCTCAAAATATGGCCTTCATCAGGCCTCTTTGACCTGTTCCGGACCTTGCCAGGCCGGGTCTGAGTAGGCCCATTGTGTATTTGGCGTAATTGCGTCTGAGCGCGGATAAGATACTCCTGCGAAACGCTGTAGATTTACTCTCGTTTTTCTTCAGCGGCGGTTTGTGGCGTAGTAGGTCTCTCTCCCTAAGCTCTAACGCATAGCCGGCAGGCAGGCCATGCGGCATCGCAGGTCTCTCTCTAAAATAGTGCAGTTGTGTGTGAGCATTTGCGCCGATGTGTTCTTCTGATTTATCATGGCTATGCAACCTTTTCAAAGACTCAATCATGGAACTTACCGTGAGTTCTTTCTGCAAATTTCGCTACTTTCTCTGTTTTCCTCTCTGAGCCTTAAGAATTGCAATTTTTATAACTATATCAATTTCTTAAATTATTTTTCAGGATTGTGGTCCCATTATCCTCTCTGAGGAGAGAGAAAGGGATACATTGATACGGTTATCACAGGTATTGTCACTTCTTATCTCTGTTTTCAGTTCTTATTGTTTTTTTGCCATTATTAGTTTTCACATCCAATTGGGTAAAAATTAGGGTTTTCTTCTTAGCTATTTTAACTAAATAGGAGTTTGATCTAGGTTTCCCAGCTGATTCGGCAAAGAATGGATTCCGTTAAACTCAAAAAAGCAAGTGAACAAGTAAGAAGTGAATATATATGTTTTTATAGTTTTAAGATACTATGTTTCACTCATCCATGCTTTAATCCAATGCTATCCCAAGAGTACAATACTTGTAGATATGTTTTCTATACATAAGCTAACCATATTTAGAAGCTTTGAAAAATGTGGGTAAAAACTTCATAAGATTTTAAGCATGTTTTATCTCATAAAAGAAAATAATTTTTTAAGCATATTTTAGAATTGGTGAATGATTTTTTGTTTATGATGTTGAGAAACATGCTTTCAGAATGGCCATTCTCTACTCTGTCGCTTAGATTTTGATAGATATGTGTGCATTTGAATATGGATTGACCTTTCTTGTGATGGAACTTTTTATCTTTTTGTTTTTGGAGAAAAATCCTTATGTGTAAGTCGCTTATATGAAGAATCCTCGGTATACTTGAGGATATTATTGTATCTGTAGGAATATGTTATTGTTGGTGGGTTCCGTATGTTTGAGATCTGCATATTATTTTAATTCTATGTCAGGCATGCATATTTTGGTTTTGTCTGCATAATTATGAACATAGAAGTCGGAATTAAATTCCTGTTCTTCCTTGTAGGGAGTTTTGATGAATGTGGTGTGTGAAGATAAAAGTGATAGGACATTCCAAGCCTCCTCTCCAATGGGTCATGACTGCCTGAATATCATCATGCCTACCCTTGTAAGGGCAATTTTTGTTTTTTGGTTGATAGAGACATTTTAACATGAATAATGAGCACCTTTGTGCTTTGGCAATTTGCGATAGTAACTGCCTTTTCTCCTTCATGTGTGTGTGATAATATGTAGTGGCTTGCTTGTCTGGGTTAAATGAGCCCCTATAACAAAGTCAAGGAAAATACCTTGGGTTTCTGCTGCTCAAGAAAGCATACTACGTGCTGTTTTGGAAATCATTCTTGATGATTCACTGGCTTATTATGTGTTTAGTATGAATAACTATGAGAAATATAGTATGATAAGTATGGTCTGCAGGACCATGTCATATGGGTTATCACCACCCAATCAGTGGGTTGGACGGTGATGAATGAAAAATGGGAAGTGATATTTGAATCGATGGCATGTCTGGTGGTGCACCGGCTCTCCCTCCATCATCGTCCAACCTATTAATGGGATGGTGATGACGGTTGTGATGCTACATTAACCTTATGGATCATACCATACTTTCCATCAACCTTGAAAAACTTCTGCACTCACGGATCCTTCACCTGAAAATAGTCATCACTTCTTTATTCATTTAGAAAAACAATTTGAATTGACTGACATCTAACCGTGGACTATGCTGCGAAAGATGAGGCTAAAGTTATTTGTCAAACCCAGCAGCGAGGTTTAACTATGGGCCTCGTTTTGTTTCCCCTGTCCCAATGATAGTTTGTACTCTTTTATGTGCAGCTTGAGTTGCTATTACAGTTTCTTCAGATATGCCTAGGCTGATATTTCATTGTTCAGTTTCTTATTATGTTTTCTCTTCAGATGTTTTTAGGAAGTTTGTTCATTGTCAGCAGATTTCTATAATGGTTTTTTCTTTCTATATGCTTAGGATGCCTGTTCATTGTTTAAATTCTCAGTAATTTTCCCCCAAACAGGTGGTCTTCTTAACATTTGCGAGTCAGTTTGTTCGTCATTCAGCTGGGAAAGTTTTTTTGGTTCTTTCCAACTTCCTTGGGAAATATGTATGTGCCTAAATCTTTCTGTTTAAATATTTTGGCCAATTGAATTTGCTATGCTTCATTTTTAATTTTGAAACCGTGAAAATTTTGCAGGGAAACAAATGGGAGAAATTGATATATTTTCTATGGAGTAGCTTAGAAGCAGCAATATTTAGCATTGATTCTTCATTTCCTCTAATAATTGGAGATGCCCAGTTCAATCACATCACCACCAAAACCACAGAGGTGGCATTTGGGAACGTCCATTCTGATTGTCATAATAAAAGTTCTGCTTCTTTCACAACCTCAAGATTAATGAATGCAAATTGGTTTACCATTACAGAAATCATTCGGATTTTACGTACCATACTAAAATCTCTGAAACCAGAAGATGAACTTTTCAAAATCTACATGAAATGTGCAAATGCATATTTATCAAGTGTGTTTTGGGATCTATTGGAAATGATGAAGCCTAATTACTCAAATGGAAGTTCTGCAGAGCCTTATGGAGAGCTTTTATTTAATCGAGACATAGGATTTCTGGATTCACACGTATTAGGAATGATGCTCCAACTTTTATGTTCACTGGTCAAAAGAAGTGGTTCAGAGGAAGTTTCAGGGTCGTTGGTTGAGGATTTTTCTATCACCACAGAAGTTAGCGACCTTGTTCCTGAGCTTGCTGTTTGGTGTCTTGTGAAGCCTGGAAATGCTAATGGTGAGTGCATCTCAGGATTCTTGCGACACAAGATGATGGTATGCAACTGATCCTGTATGTTGCTTGTTTTGTTTCTATGATACATACATCTACCTTTACTCCCTGTCACAACCTACATGCATGCACAAGCACTCACACATGTTGTTGCATTCTCTCATCGGCCTACTCTTGACTTCTTGCTATTCTGTCTTGGAAGTCTAAAATTTTGAAAGAGGTAAGACATGTTCGATTGACTGCTGTTTTTTTTCTATGCAGATGCTAATGATCAGGCTATGTGATCATATTCATCAACAGGGTGAAACCCTTGAATTCTGGTTGGAATTGCTTTGTAGATGTTGCAGTGATATATTATACAAACAAATCTCTGAAGGTTATGTTGATCATGGTGATTTTCTTGAAGGATCTCCATTTCTTTCAAGTCTATCTGAGAAAAGCAGATTGTGTAGTGTGTCTACACGTCATTTACAGAGACAAGCTATTTTTCTTCTTTTCAAATTCTCCATCAGATTGATGAATCTAGAAAACGAAACCACTGGACGAAGAGCTTTTTCTTCCATGAATTCCCAATGTGATGTTGGGTTTCCCTCCAATCAAGGCATGAAAGAACTTATGAAGTGGCTTCAGTGGCATGTTCCTTCAACAAGGTTGGAAGCCGACAACACAAATTGTGAAGAATGTAGCAGATTTAGAGTAGCTTTCTTAAATCTGTTTGTGGAGGAGGTTTGTATTCCTGTACCTACTTTTCAAAGTAGTATCATTAGGCCCATATTTATGTTTTCTTTGCAGAAGAATAGCTTTTATTTTGTTAATTAGTTGCAATTTTTGGAGGGCCCTTGTCTTCTATTTGGGGATAAGGCCTTGGTAATCTGAAATTATTCTGATAGTTCTGAATGTGAATTTGAGTGAATATCGTACCATATGAAATTAATAAGAAATATCCAAGCATACAAAAGCCCCAGAGGTAATACCCAAGGCTTCATGAACCGTACAAACCTTTGCTTAAGTTTGTTATTTATTTTTTGTTGAACAATATTTTGGAATATAATACAATTTCCAAATCTCTCTCTCTCTCTCTTTCTCTCTCTCTCTCTCTCTCTTGTATTATTAGATGTAGCTTTCGTATGCATATTTCATACCCATAGTTGTATTATTCTTTGCAGGGAGTCTTTCTGGCATCATCCTGCTCCTACTTTCCGAGCCTTTATTTTCATCTACTAATATATGGTCTGAAGCATTTGAAAACCTGGAACTCTTAAAACATGAGCTTATAATTAAGATATCGAATTGCAAAACTAGAAGATGTAGACAAAATGTTTTTCTAAGAGAGGTTATGGATTGATTTGTTAAGACATTATGCTGATTGTATGAATCAATTCATGATAATTTTCTCTTAATTATCAACAGAAACAAACAGCCATGTAGTCCACTAGTTTGCTAGGAGAATACTTAAGATCTGTGAATGCTGACTCATGTTCTGGCATATGGAAACAGATGTCTAATTTATTATTATTAACAACATTGTTTTTTAGTTACTATTGTTGTTGTTATTGTAATCACTACACCATTATGATGATCATCATTATTGGCTTGTAGAGTATTGATTGGGACCCCCAATTAGATACAACTTGCTAATGATACATGTCTTGCACGTTGATGTGGTTCAGATGAAAATTATTTTTCAAAAATCATGATATTTAACTTTTAACAAAAAGATTAGCATTAAGTTAGCGTTTTTTTAATAGGATTTTTTTGGTCATTTACTACGATTGATTAATTTTTTAATTTCATTGAAATTAGTTGAGATAAGTATTGTTTTTTTGATAATTGATCCAAAATTCCTTCTTTTGCAGGAATTCCTATTTGAACTTGATAGAGTTTAGAGAGAATGAGATTTTATGAAAACTGGAGGGAAAGGACTCATGGAAGAATTCAAAACTCACTCCTATATATTCTCCCTTAGGAATATAGATTTGTCCACATTACAAAGTTGGAAAAATGGAAAACTGGACTAAAGAATTATTGCTTCCATGGCAAGGTGGCCTACTACTTTTCGCAATGGAGTTATAAATGGATATGAAAGTCTAAAATGAGTTAATTCATGTTTAATTTGTCTTTAATATTGGCCTTCCAAAGTTTTAAGTATCACACTCTATTGTTAAAGATTCTTCTATTAAGTATTTTGCTCTGAATTCTTCCATGACCTTCATAGTGTTCATCATCTTGGTTCACTTATAGTGACCTCCATTTATTTATTTATTTCCTTTGGATTCTTTTTTTTATAAATCCACTGTTTCCTTATTACTTGCAGGATGATATCTTGTTTGAAATGCTTCTGCAGCTCCTCGATATCCCCAATACAGGCCCTCCAATGTGAGAAGAATTTGTGTTATGTTTTGTCTCGGATTGGTAGAATGCTTGCTGACATTTGTTTCTTGGTAGTATGCAGTCACAATGATGGAATTAGCATGCGTTATGACAAACTTAAGGATGATTTTCACTCTCATCTTTCAAACATTTTCAACCCCATCTTCCTTTTCCATACATTTCTCTCTGGGGTGAGTTCTCAGACCAGAAGACAATTGATTTTTTTGCATTACTTTCTTGGTATGCATCTTTATCTTCTTATTGTTAATTTTTGCTAAATTCTTCTGACTGAATTCCAACTTGGGCTAATCTATGTTTTCTTCAAGGAAAATTGTTTCATGCGGGCTGGACTGCATTTCTACATATGCGGTCCAGAAAGTGTAAAGCATCCATCTTAAAGATGGATGCAAGTAGATGTTCCATCTAAAAACAATGGAAACTAACGGTCTAAATGTTTTCTTACTAGAATTATTATTTTTAGTTTTTAAAATTTATTTATTTTTTCATGTTCATGATCTCCATGTTAGAGATTACATGTCCTTAAAAATTAAGCCTTAAAATCCATCTTAAAAATAGATTTATTAAGAGGTCGGCATTTTTGAAAGGACTCGTGTGATCTAGCCGGAGTATATAATAAATTTTTTCTTTCTTTTTCAATTCTTTTATTTTCTTCACTGCTTAGATCACTCACAAGTAGTCCTTTTACAATATAATAACTTTAAATAAAATAAAATAAAAGAATACAATAGGATCTCAAGAACTCGAAGCCATTCAAAAACCTTTCTTTCAATAACAAAGAAAAGACACAACCTATGTTTGGGAATAAAAGACATAATAAATAAATATGCAAGAAACAAAAGAGGGTGCTGGAGATTACCTCAACCGGGCTTCTTACACCCCATACTGAGTAACCACCTTCCAATGGTGCGGGATCTAATGGTCAACCTTGAATCTCAATTGGGAAAGCAAGTTTGAACTAGTCACACCAATGGTACATGAACACCTTTGATCACAAAACTCAAACCCTTAGATGAACCCCCTTGATAACCTAGTTTGAGAGAGATACTTTTCTTTCTACCACAACCCTATGGACCTTAACCGCAATGTGCCATGAGAGAAGATGAGAGACACCATGAAAGAGAAACCATGACATGAGATAGAGTGGGGCGTGCCCCCCCTAGGGTTTTCTTTGAGAGGAGAGAGTTTCCAAGATGAGAGAGAAGTTTCCTACTAGGTGGGGCGTGCCCCCTAATTTTCATAAGAGAGAGAGAATTCCTTTACTAGGGGCGTGCCCCTCTTATTGTATATGGGAGAGAGAAGAGAGATTTTAGGTATAAGAGATATGGTGTAGAGATTTGGGTAGGGTGCTCCCCTTTTTATAGTGTTTGAACAAATTTAGGTTTTTCCTTTGCTTGCCATTCATGTGAGATTGACTATGCACCATTGATCTTGGGCGACTTGTGGGGTGAGAGATATGAGCTCTCCATTCCATAGATGGGCCATCAACATCCTGTGGAAGGTGCTAGAACCATTATCCCCTACTTCCTAAATTATTTTCCCATCAATTAATTCAAATAAGAAATTAATATATAATAATATTATCCTTTCTTATTTTGCATAAGTCTTCTCATACATACTAAAATATCATTCAAAATTTCCTCAAGGCTTAAGCTTTCTTAAAACAACACAAACTTATCTCTCAAGCTTTAGAGCTTGATTACCAAAAAAATAGAAAGTGTCTTAGGTGGGGCATGCCACCCATTGTGGCACGTAATGGGCCCCACCCAATTTGCTATGGTGGTCCCAAGAGTCCTATTGGGCCTCCCATGCAATTATATTATTATTTATTTTTAAAAAAATATAAAATTATTATTTGAATATTTAAATCATTATAAAATCAATATCTTTGTTTTTATAAATTCCAATTTGATGAATAAAATATCCTGAGATTCAGTAAAATTCAAATAACAATTCTAAAAATTATATATTATTAAAGTAAATAAAATTAAATACTTTGATGGGAAATGATCCATATGGTCTAGGAATAAATATCCACTAGGGCACTCCATGTCCAACTGCGAACTATGAACCACACATGATTTCTCAAACCGACCCAGCGTTACCCACAGTCCATGTAATGGATCATTAGTGAGTCACCAAAGTCTAGCCAATGGGCAAGGGGTCGCAGTCCCAGTATATAGATTCCAGGTCCCCCCTGGAGAGAAAACCAAGGTCATCTTGATTTGATGCAATCCATTGTTCGGTGGTGCACAGGGGGTATCTCTCGCATATGCACACGCTTCAAGTAGTTTGCTTTCTCGAAAACGGCTAGCAATGTGCATGCCGTATGATGGTACAAATGATAAAGCTTTGGCCCCGTCTTTGAAAGCCTCCATCACACACTACGGTCACACAGTCCCTTAGTTCGTTCTTCCGGGCATACTCTAACCTCATCAAGGGATAACCCATCTAACCATCATCGGTTTATTTCTTTATGCCTAGGTAATATGGGTTTTCCCTAACCTGACTGACCTAGTACGTCAAGCACAGGCCAGTATTAGCAAATAACGTTTGCTTAGTATGGTCCACATGGGACCACACTCCCATTGAGTTCATGTTCCACTATATATTTTCTTTTTACAACCACTCGTAAGGCCTTTAATGGCCACACACACCCGATAATTTCTACATATGCAGGCTTGGCCGCATAGAAACCGGATCCTTTCTTTATTTACTCATGCTAGTAGTGATGATTGCTTCATTGGGCATGCATGTGCTGATTCTTGCAATGATGATCATACTTATGGCCTTTATATGTATCCATGCAGTTACTATGATGTTTATATAGATACAGCTAATGCACATTGTGAAATGGTTTCAACACACGAATGTGCAAATAGATTATTGATGAGATGACTATCATGATTCCATTGCCAAAGTTTCCCATAAATTCTTATGTGGTTATAGACTCTGTTCATGACATGGTCAGTTGTCTCTTGTTGCATGTCAGAGTTCTCTTGCAAGATGGCTAAAAATTGGCATTATGAAATTAAATTAATAAACCAAAAATATTAGATAGACTTGGAAAATTACAAAAGTACAAAAATAAGAATCGGTTAACTGGAACTTTGTTTGAAAGAGTAGTACTTACTGAAACTAATCAAATGAAAACTTTTGGAGTTAGATGTGTTGTTATAGTGGGAAGCTGGTTCATGAACTAAGTGCAGCAAAAAAAAAAAAGATTCTGAAGTATACCTGTGAAATTTACGGCGAAGTCTCTCTCAAGTGAGCCACAATATTCAGAAGGGGTTCGCAGTTTGTGCTACCCGTTTAACCAGATTTTGATTTTCTGGAATTGTGGTGTAACAAATCCCTTGTTATATATGATTTGATATTTTCCCAATTCTTTCTATCTTGGTAAAATCAAATTTTCTCTTTCTTTCTCTTCTGCTCTTGCCTTTAATATAGTTCATCCTCTGAGCATTCAAATGCTTTGTTCTGCTTTATTTTTTTAAATTATTTATTAATTCTGGTTACAGTTGAGTTAACATCCGTATTATAACCTGGTTATGTTGCAGATACGATATGATTACCTCCTGCTTCTTGATTACCTTATCTCAAAAGATATAGGAGTTCTATGTTTGCAATACCTTCTAAGGTACATTACAACTGTTAGATATTACAATCGATTATCTATATCAGTCTCTAGGCTTTATGAGTGAAAATTGGTCCATGTGTCTTGAGATTGATAAAGTTTCCAAACATTATTAGTCTATGTATTCTACAGTTTATCAGTGATGGAGACATTGGAACCTGATAATGTTGTCAAGTCTTGTTTTGCCTGGTCCTACCCTCTCTTTTTTACCATCTATTTCCATTGATAGTGATGATAGAATGACGGCAGTCCATTGGATTATAGTTTATGTTTTTTCCTTATTGAATATCTTCACCTCTGCATAATGTGTTCTCTCCCTGATACAGAATTCTCTCTGGGGAACACTGATAGGGAATTGACATTCTTTGTGTAATTTCTTTATGCTCTTCAATAAAATTTCTGATTACTATTAGAAATTAATTTACTTTGCAGGGGCACAATAAAAGGGATATAATTTATTGATTAAGGAATTTCTAATTGCTGCTGCTTATCTTTTTCAGATGTTTGCGGCTAGTTTGTAACTCATGGCCTATATTTAAAGGATTTTCGATGCCTAATCATGAGATGAATCAGTTATGTTGCAAGAGAAGAGAGGTCTCAGTGGATGGACGTGATTTTGTAGGAAAGGTACTGCCTCTGTCCTCTTCAGTTGAAGGAATTAGCGCTACACAGCCACCACGAACAGGTCATAAAAAGAGGAAAGGGAAGACTTCAGGAGAGTCGACTTTTGAAAATGCAGAAGAATGTTTGCTGTCTTTGAAGTATGCTCTGGAGAATCTTCACAAAAAGAACTTGTTCCCTTATAACCCAACTGCTTTATTGAGAAGGTATATGCTTTATGTTTTCTTTCTCATGTAGTTACTGCTTTGCCTTACCTTTCTTCTCTCTACTGTTTGGTTTCAAATTTTGACATGTATCTCCAGTGCTGAAGCGACTGTTTTATTGATTTATGAGAAATTCACGCATATATCCCCCATTATATACATTATTAAAAACATTTCCCCCAATTTTCGTTTGTTACATGCTTGTCCTTTTTTCCCTCTTTTTTTTTAATTCCCAATTTGCCGCCATTTTGGATCTTCAAGATCTGAAGTCACAAATTCATTTTATGAATTCGGATATTTAAGTCCTGAAGTTGGGGCCCCATATCTCCCATTGCACCGTAAATTTTTTTTTTTGTCCCTCCCCCAGTTTGCCCACCACTTTGGATCTCAAAGATCCGAAATCACCGTGAGTCGAAAATGGGCTGCTGACCTTAGGATTCAAATGAGAAAGCCCTTCCCTCGGGTCCAATGCCCGTTTATTTAGGTGATGCTCTCCATATGAGGGCAAGATAGGAGGGGCACCCGTTCTTTCTTGAGGAAGTCAATGGAAAGTCCGACCAAACGAGATCAGATCGGGATCAATTGTTAACTTTGGATCTTGAAGATCCAATGTATATTGGACATGGCTTTGGATTTTGAATATCTGAAGTCTTGAATATGTGACCATGTCTTTGGATCATGAAAATTCAAAGTGATGAATGTGGGGCATGACTTTGGATCCAAAGTCATAGGCGACTTTGGATGTTCAAGATGAAGACCAAAGTCAGAAACTGGTTTAATTTCTTCTGGTTTAATTACTTTAAGATGTTGATGACTTGAAGTCATGGCAATTTGAAAAGGTATAAAGTCATAGGCGACTTTGGATGTTCAAGATGAAGACCAAAGTCAGAAACTGGTTTAATTACTTCTGGTTTAATTACTTTAGGATGTTGATGATTTGAAGTCATGGCAATTTGAAAAGGTATAAATTATAAAAGACAAAAATTGGGGGGATTTTTTCAATAATGGAAATTGTGGGGGATATTAGCATAAATTTCTCTTTTTTTTTTATTTCTTTATTCGTTTGATAGCATGGGATTTTAGTCCTTGTGGAAATTAGAGGGATATGAGAAGAAAACCCCGATCTGAACTTTGATGTAAGATCCTTGTGGAACCACTCTCAGAAGGGATTAGGCCATTGGGGCTTATTAAGGAACAATTAACTAGGGTGAGGGAGATTAATTCTTGTAACCACCAAGGACACATGACTCCTAGGTGGAAGCCACCGCTTTCTTGATGGGCCCTTGTGTTCAATAAAATCGAACCATGGATGGTGATGGCAAGTAGGACCAACACGGAGGACATGACTCCATTGTTGGGTCCTCAAACTCGCCATCCCCCTTCCTCATTCAAATGGATGGCTGTGATGCCTCAGCTCGCCACATGATGGATGTTACCATCATCTATTAAATTGATACTTCACCATTTACTCTTCTCTTTAGTTTGAATGCTTGCATCCCTCACAGATTGTATGTATTTTTAACCATTCCTCTTTATGATATGCAGTTTCACGAGATTTCAGAAATTCTGCAGTAACAAAGAGAGGGAAAGCATCGATTACAAAACCTAAATGGAAAAGGACTTGGGAAATTTCCAGCCTCAAGAAGCAAACTTTTGCCATGTTACGTTGGGAATGCGAGAAATGCAGAGTCAGTTGTCAATTTACCAACGGTTTAGATCAAACTTAACTCACTGGGACTGGATTGTGAACAGGGCACAGTAAATCTCCACCATAATCTTTCGCAACAAGTGCTTGATTCTGTACATAGAAAAACATGAGATGTGAAGTCCCCTCTTTCTTGGTCTAGAGGTAATTATTTCCTTTGTGAAAATATGCTCTGACCGAGAACTTTAAGGAACACTATGGCCATAGGGCCCCATTTGCATAAGAATATTTGCAAAGAGGACCCATCAAACATGCCATTATTGTCAATTTGTACATTTTACTCTCCCATCATCCCCATTCAATCGATTGATGGGATCGTGATGACCCTATTACCATACTGTAACGTCTAACGAGTCATTAATGGTATATGGTACCTTTTTTTTTTTCTTACTGCATTTTATTGTATTGTTTTTTATGATTAATTTTTGTCTGTTTCAAGAGCGAGAAGCAAATCATAGTGTTCTTATACAAATTTGGAGTCAGATAAAGAGGGCGATGAATGCCAGTGTTCCAAAACTCGGAAACTTGCCTTGAATCGCTAATGGATGCTATTTCCTATTTTTCTTGGTCATCTAGATTCAATCAGTATCACTCATTTTCAAGCTGATTTGGGTTCGATTTCATACCATGATTCTTTTACTGAAGGGCAAATACGTATGGAGCACGTATAACTATGCTCTTTGCGGGAGCATGCTGTGCATAAGCACCTTTATTCCAAAGATCCATTTGGAAGAAATTTTCGGACTAAAATTTCGGGAACCATTTAAGAATCACTGGATAATTATTTTAAAAGAAAAAAGTTTGAATTTTGAGTTTGTTTTTGACTGTTGGATCTTGTCTTTCAAAAATTGGACGGTCTCTATTCAATTGTGAAACATTATTTTCTTCTGGTGCACAGAGTTCAATTGGGATTTTTCATTTTTAGTAAGGTTAGTGTGCTGGTTGAAGAGGTTGCATCTTCAAAATTTGGAATTCTACTCATATATTGGGTTTTGTTGGTTGGAATCCTAAAATTACTCTTATATTGGGTTTTATTGGGGGGAGTGAATAGACACTTACTTTTGCAAGACTATAAAATCTTTTAGTTATATATAGAGTACAATGAGAGTAGTTTACCTTACAAGGAGACCACAATTCCTCTTCTACTTTTTAGATGTCAAATTAGATAGAATTGTCAAATTAGATAGAATTGTACTCGTTAGAGAGTCCGGAATTTTTTTTTTTGAACTTTGAGGCTTTTCAATGACACTTTCACAACCACTTAATTTGAAATTCAAAAATTCAAAAAGATAAAAGTGATTGTGATATTTTTGCACAAAAAGTAAATGATCATCTTGTACATTTTTTCATATATATATATATATATATATATATATATAAAATGTGTATATAAAGTTGATAACCCTAAATAACAAAAAAAAACTATGATGCATCTCAAAAACTCACTAGAAGAAGTGATTTTTGTCTATCCCTGGCTTGGAGTCCAGGTGCAATGCACCTAAGAGAGAGAAAATTAGTTGCTCCCAAATTTTCACCTTGCGGTTCATTGAATAAATAATTGGGCCAGGTAGTTGAAGGATTATGGTTAGTGATTTTGTCTATTCGTGGCTTGGGAGTCCAGGTGCAATGTACCCAAACCATGGGACTTTTCCAATTAGAAATTTAGTCCATTTAATGTTTTGTTTTTGCTTATATCTCTGTTATTAGAGATTAAGTCGGCTTATAGTCTCTGTCATTAGAAAAATTTAATTTTTTACAAGTCTCCGTCACTCCTATGGGTACACGATAAACAAGAGAGACGTATGCTAATGGAGCTCTGCTATCCCTTAAAAAGTTAAAACACCTCCTCAACATGCAGGAAACCCACATGCACCTCCAGGGCCTTCATCCTCAAGAGCTTTTACAGTGAGAGAAAGGTCTCCGGGTAAGAGAAAATCAAGAGATTTTGCAGTGAGAGAGTGAGAAACCTCAGAATTCATCATGGGTCTGGAATCAAAACCTTTTGACATGGACCCAGCCTTCATCCAAGCCCCTGAGCACAGGCCCTCAGCCATCTCTCACCAATTTGCAGAAGGTGTCCCCATAATCGACCTCTCTCCTCTCTTGTCGCCCGATTCCAAGAAATCGAACCTTCTCTCTATAGAATTTATAGATCCTGCGACTCTCTCAACTTTGGTGGATAAAATCAAACATGGGTGCAAAGACTGGGGTTTCTTCCAAGTCATAAACCATGGGGTTCCAATAGAGCTTAGAAGAGCTGTAGAGGAAGTGTCTATCAAATTCTTTGGATTTCCATTGCCGGAGAAGCGAAAAGTTCGGCGAGATGAGGAGAATACAATGGGGTATTATGATGAGGAGAATACAAAGAATGTGAGAGATTGGAAAGAGGTATTTGATTTCTCGGTGAGGAGCCCCATTGTAATTCCGGAGCTTGAGGGCGACAGCATAAAAAGTGTCACCACCTTGGCGAACCAGTGGCCGGAGAATCTGCCAGAAATGAGGCATGGAGTGTTTGAATTTTGCTCTTTTGTTATAGATTATTAGGCGTACTTTGACTGGAATTTTCCCAAAATGACAAAATTTTGGTTAGAAATTGTCTATAGTTTTGGAAAACTATGGTTAATCTTGGAATTTCACTATCTTTAACTAAGATTTGCTCAAAAAACTAGCAAAATGGCCATTTCTAGTCTGTCCTTCACCAGTGTACAGAAAATAGACTCGGCCAAGGTACTAGGGCCTTGGCCGAGTCCTCCCGAGTCAAGTGCAGGGCAGGCGCCTTTTGGCCAAAAAAATATAAAAAAAATAAAAAATAATTAAACATATAGTAAAAGTAAATTGAAACCTAAAAGACGATTAAAAATGTAGAGAAAAAATGATTGACTGATCTACAAATTGGGATATTAAAAAAAAATAAAAAAAAATATAAAAGTTGTGATTATGGGAAAAGAAACACTCACCAATCTTTACCAAATTCATCCTATTCATATACAAAAAGATTATAAAACAATCCATTATTTTTTCATTTTTTATTTGTTTTTAGATTTGTTTTTTGAATTTTTTTATATACGTGAGTTGTGCAACCAACTTAGGGAAACTCGTCTTGTCCCACTGACTTAACCCCCCCTCCCCCTGCTCTTAACAAACAAAGAAATCTTGCCCAAGAATAATTTAGACACTAGTTTAAGTGGTTATACTTTTGGCAGGTAGGTTGAATCTTTACAGTCTGTTAAGAAACTCCCTTTTTTTTTCCTCTGAAGGTTGTTATGGAACTCATTTTTGTAGATACATTCAATTTGGTACACCACTTTGACAAGATCAATGAAATGCGAAAAATAAATTAAGAAAAAAAAACAAAATTTGCAAAAAATCCTTAAGAATAGTTTGCCCTCTCTCTTTATTTATTTTTAGATGTATATAGTTTTATGGAGTTGGATTAGAAAATTAAGAGAGTAACCCTTTTTAATCTCTAACCCTATCACTTGATAGGATAGGGGTCCAATGATCTCAACATACATCCTGCATTAAGATTGTAGGCATAAATCATACATGACTATTCTCCTATAAGGAATACATTTTGCTTAAAGATCATTCTCTTACACAATTGTTCTTTAGTGAATGACCTATCTTGTCATAAATTTGACTGAGTTTGGATCATCTTCATCATTTGTGCTTGGGAACCAACATTTGAGATTGATGTCCACAATTTATGTAGAATCAAGTCTCAAAGGATCATTGCCCTATTATTTAAAGAGTGAGATTTGTAGAACGCCGCAACCTTAAACAATCAAAGTACTTGAACAAACAAAGTAAGGTGCACTTTCAAACTTTGTTATAAGATACAATTTTGGTGTCAAAAATTTTTAGGATGGCCCGAGAATTTATTTTTATCTCTAATTATGAAATTTTAAACTTCAAAAATGGTTCAAACCAAACAAATCTATAAATGTATGAAAGTCACCTCTATTAATTCTACTATGGTGTCAACCTTATACAAACTTTTTCCTGATTTAAAAAGAACACATTTTCAAGCTCACAAAATCTAGTGCACTAATAAACCTTTAACTTGTGTGTTGAAGGAGCGTATGCAAAGCATATGCACAGGCCACTCAGAAGCTTGCAGTACGATTGCTAGAGCTCATTTCATTGAGCTTAGGATTGCCAGTCTCACGCTTGAATGCTTTTTTCAAGGACCAGACAAGTTTTATAAGGTTGAATCACTACCCTCCATGCCCATCTCCAAATGAGGCACTAGGAGTGGGAAGACATAAAGATTTTGGAGCCCTAACTGTGCTCGCACAGGACGACGTTGGTGGTCTCGAGGTGAAGCGCAAGGATGGTGAGTGGGTCGCTGTGAAGCCGGTGCCAAATTCTTATATAATCAATATAGGGGATATAATTCAGGTATGTGAAAAGATAAAGAACACTAGTTCATTGATTTCTTTTCTCTAACTTTGGGTGAACATTTTCTTGAAATTCAAGCTCAGAATTGTGAGAAAGCATATAGGATTGATTGTTTTCGTTTAGCATGTTTTACTTCATGGTGCATATGCGTTAAGCAGCACTGATGTGGATAATGGATAAGTAAAGGTGTGTCACTCCTTAGGGCTGAGAATTTACCCAGTTCAGATCCTAAACCTGAATTTTGGATCCTATTCAGATCTGGATATGGATCCAAGATTTGGATCTGAAATTCGGATTTGGATCTAAAATTTGGATCCAAATGACTATTCGGATCAAATATGGGTAAATGTGAATCCAATATGGTCATTAAAATAGTATATATTAATCTTATAGTTATATATTTATTAATTTATATATAGTATTTTTAACTTTCAAAGACCTTATCCCCATTATGGATCGGATTGTGGATTTGGATCCTATAGATAGTTTTTCGATCCGGATCTTGATTTGGATCTGATCATATTCAAATCCTATGTATACTTTTTTGATCTAGATCTGGATCTGGGTTGCCCCAGACCCGATCCGAAAAATTCCTACCCGATCATTCATCAGCTCGAAGTTCCAATTACTATCATAATATACTTTCCCTGTTTTTTCCTTGGGGTAGCAACTGGTTCTAGCCACAACCTCAAAGTTGCAGCAACAAGCATCTTCGAGTTGAGCTATGGGATCAAAACCTTTGCATTTATAATTTGATGCATTAACTACGATGGAAACATAAAAATGTATTTGTTTCCTTGTAACTCTCCATTCTTGAAATTTAATATGATTCCCATTGATGAAAATTTATTCTAACAAATAAAGAAGGTACTCAAGAAATATCTATTGGTCATATAAGAAATTAATCAAGCTAAACCTAGATAAAACTGAATTTTCATTATTTGTTCTCATCCATTATTTGCCTTTAACATTTTGTAGGTGTGGAGCAATGATGAGTACGAGAGTGCGGAGCACAGAGTGGTAGTGAACTCCAAGAGGGAGAGGTTTTCAATGCCCTTCTTTTACATACCTTCTGCTTGTGAGTTCATAGAGCCACTTGAAGAAAAGATGTCTGAGAAAAATCCCCCAAACTATTTACCATACAATTGGGGTCACTTTTATATTAGCAGAAAACTTAGCAATTTCAAGAAGAGGAACACTGAAAACCTTCAGATACAGCACTTTAGAGCATCCAAGCTGAATGCTTAGGGGGTTTGAAACTTTAGGAAGTAATCAAATATGTAATGAAATAATAGGCCTGTAAAGAGTCTTTGAAGTAGTCATACAATTTAATATATGACTTATACTGTGAAATGTAAGCTTGGAACACTATGATTTTATTCTATGTAGATATAGTGCCATGCTTGGGCTATCTAGACATGTTTGCTTTTGTTGGTCTACTTTTTTGTAGGTTTAAGGTTTTATATTTAATTTCCAACCTTTTAAAAGGAACAATTAAGGTTGTTTATTAGGAACACTGAATAGTGCTTGTTTGTAATCTTGAACAAGTAGAGGTAATTATTGACACTCAGCCCTTGAAATGCTCCTGATTGTCTAGTTCTCCCAACTCTGAATAGGTAGTTCTACAAACTTTTTAAGATTTTTTTAAGGAGGTATCTGCGTGATATGAAAATAAAAAGCAACTCTTTTTATGTTAATTTTAATAATTTAACTTTTTAATGATTTTGTAAGGTGTTTTAACCCCTTAAATGATATTTTTTCCTTATATGATATTTTCACTTAAAAAAAGAGGCGACCCGAAGATCCTTTTTGCCGATATTTTGGATCAATCTTATTGAATTCAAATACTGGATCACATTTTCGTGCCAAAAAAAGTACATTTCGAAACACTAGATCATATTTTGAAATGGCTCCTTTTTGAGCCATTTCAGTTTCGTGAAATTGTAAAAGGAATGTTTAATTAAAACGATTAAAATATTTTTTTACAAACTTTTGAATTGGTTTTGAATCATAGTACAATTTAAATAAGTTTTGAATCAATTCGAACCGGTCACTCCTAGTTGGGAATTTTATTAGAAATCCAATTTGAATTTAAACAATGAACAGGCAACCTAAGCATATACAACGAAAAAACCATTATAGAAATCTGCTGACAATGAACAAACTTCCTAAAAACATCTGAAGAGAAAACATAATAAGAAACTGAACAATGAAATATCAGCCTAGGCATATCTGAAGAAACTATAATAGCAACTCAAGCTGCACATAAAAGAGTACAAACTATCATCGGGACAGGGGAAACAAAACGAAGCCCATAGTTGAACCTCGCTGCTGGGTTTCACAAATAACTTTAGCCTCATCTTTCGCAGCATAGTCCACGGTTAGATGTCAGTCATTTCAAATTGTTTTTCTAAATGAATAAAGAAGTGATGACTATTTTCAGGTGAAGGATCCGTGAGTGCAGAAGTTTTTCAAGGTTGATGGAAAGTATGGTATGATCCATTTCGTTAATGTAACGGCACAACCGTCATCACCATCCCATTAATAAGTTGGACGATGATGGAGGGAGAGCAGGTGCACCACCAGACATGCCATTGATTCAAATATCACTTCCCATTTTTCATTCATCACCATCCAACCCACTGATTGGGTGGTGATAACCCATATGACATGGTCCTGCAGACCATACTTATCATACTGTATTTCTCATAGTTATTCATACTAAACACATAATAAGCCAGTGAATCATCGAGAATGATTTTCAAAACAGCACGTAGTATGCTTTCTTGCGCAGCAGAAGTCTAAGGTATTTTCAAACCTTGAACTCTATTTTTTTCTCATGTCCATGCATTTTGATGTCGAGATGATAAATTTGATGATATTTGGACACCAAAATAAATTCTTCTAGTGAAAGTTTTGAGGTAGGCTTTAATTTGATTGTTTAGAGCGTAGGCTCTATATAAACTTTTCCTTTTTGTTAAAAGCCTTCGGGACTCCCAATTGTGTGTTTGATGAGACATTGAGAGTATGAGGCACCTATAGTAAATGTTCAATGGCCCAGATTGTCTATAGCTGCAGTAAACGTTCAATGGTCTAGATTGAATATGGGCTGATTTAAAGGTCACGATTGTATTTTGTATTTTAATTTAATTTTTTTTATTTAAAAATTCAATTCATTAGAAATTTTGAGTGTGTACTCTAAAAAATTAGGCAAACCTAATAAAAATGTTTAATAAATAATTAAAAAAAAAAATTAACCAAAATACCTATGAAAGTTGTAAGGGAATTTTGATCAATTTATTTTTTACGAATAATATTTTTAATATTTTTATTAGATGCACCTTGATGTGAAGAACAGAAACTCCAAATTTCAAATCATTAAAATTTATAAAAAATATATTAAAATTTAAATATAAAATAAACATGTGACTATCAAATCTATCTATATTCAATCCGAATCGTTGAACTTATGCTATTGAGCTGTTTTCTCGTGACAATATTTCTTGCTTTTTAGGGTGGTAATGGCTAGGGCAGCTTGGGTTGGCCTGGTCAGTCCAGCCCTACAAAATTGGGGTCTGGGCTATAAAATGTAGTCTGAGGGCCAGGGCCAGGGCTGGGCAACTATAGTCTAAGGGTAGGGCTGCGCCGGGCCTGGGTCAATGCTCCCCCGTTAGGACTGACACCTCAAAAGATGGCCTTCATCAGGCCTCTTTGACCGGTTCAGGACCTTGCCAGGCTGGGTCAGAGTAGGCCCATTGTGTATTTGGTGTAATTGCGTCTGAGCGCGGATAAGATACTCCTGCGAATCACGCTGTAGATTTACTCTCGTTTTTCTTCAGCGGCGGTTTGTGGCATGGTAGGTCTCTCTACCTAAGCTCTAACGCATAGCAAGCAGGCAGGTAGGCAGGCCATGCGGCATCGCAGGTCTCTCTATAAAACAGTGCAGTTGCGTGTGAGCATTTGCGCCCATGTGTTCTTCTGATCTATCATGGCTATGCAACCTCTTCAAAGACTCAATCACGGAACTTACCGTGAGCTCTTTCTGCAAATTTCGCCACTGTCTCTGTTTTCCTCTCTGAGCCTTAAGAATTGCAATTTTTATAACTATATCGTTTTCTTCAATTATTTTTCAGGATTGTGGTCCCATTATCCTAACTGAGGAGAGAGAAATGGATACATTGATACGGTTATCACAGGTATTGTCACTTCTTATCTCTTTTCAGTTCTTATTGTTTTTTGCCATTATTAGTTTTCACATCCAATTGGGTAAAAATTAGGGTTTTCTTCTTAGCTATTTTAACTAAAGAGGAGTTTGATCTAGGTTTCCCAGCTGATTCGGCAAAGAATGGATTCCGTTAAACTCAAAAAAGCAATTGAACAAGTAAAGAATGAATATATATGTTTTTATAGTTTTAAGATGTTATGTTTCACTCATCCATACTTTAATCCAATGCTATCCCAAGAGTACAATACTTGTAGATATGTTTTCTATACATAAGCTAACCATATTTAGAAGCTTTGAAAAAAATGGGTGAAAACTTCAAAAGATTTTAAGCATGTTTTATCTCATTAAAGAAAATAATTTTTTAAGCATATTTTAGAATTGGTGAATGATTTTTTGTTTATGATGTTGAGAAACATGCTTTCAGAATGGCCATTCTCTGCTCTGTCGCTTAGATTTTGATAGATATGTGTGTATTTGAATATGGATTGACCTTTCTTGTGATGGAACTTTTTATCTTTTTGTTTTTGGAGAAAAATCCTTGTGTAAGTGGCTTATATGAAGAATCCTCGGTATACTTGAGGATATTATTGTATCTGTAGGAATATTTTATTGTTGGTGGGTTCCGTATGTTTGAGATCTGCATGTTATTTTAATTCTATGTCAGGCATACATATTTTGGTTTTGTCTGCATAATTATGAACATAGAAGTTGGAATTAAATTCCTGTTCTTCCTTGTAGGGAGTTTTGATGAATGTGGTGTGTGAAGATAAAAGTGATAGGACATTCCAAGCCTCCTCTCCAATGGGTCATGACTGCCTGAATATCATCATGCCTACCCTTGTAAGGGAAATTTTTGTGTTTTGGTTGATAGGGACATTTTAACATGAATAATGAGCACCTTTATGCTTTGGCAATTTGCGATAGTAATTGCCTTTTCTCCTTCGTGTGTGTGTGATAATATGTAGTGGCTTGCTTGTCTGGGTTAAATGAGCCCCTATAACAAAATCAAGGAAAATACCTTGGGTTTCTGCTGCGCAAGAAAGCATACTACGTGCTGTTTTGGAAATCATTCTTGATGATTCACTGGCTTATTATGTGTTTAGTATGAATAACTATGAGAAATATAGTATGATAAGTATGGTCTGCAGGACCATGTCATATGGGTTATCACCACCCAATCGGTGGGTTGGATGGTGATGAATGAAAAATGGGAAGTGATATTTGAATCGATGGCATGTCTGGTGGTGCACCTGCTCTCCCTCCATCATCGTCCAACCTATTAATGGGATGGTGATGACGGTTGTGCCGTTACATTAACGAAATGGATCATACCATACTTTCCATCAACCTTGAAAAACTTCTGCACTCACGGATCCTTCACCTGAAAATAGTCATCACTTCTTTATTCTTTTAGAAAAACAATTTGAAATGACTGACATCTAACCGTGGACTATGCTGCGAAAGATGAGGCTAAAGTTATTTGTCAAACCCAGCAGCGAGGTTCAACTATGGGCTTCGTTTTGTTTCCCCTGTCCCAATGATAGTTTGTACTCTTTTATGTGCAGCTTGAGTTGCTATTATAGTTTCTTCAGATATGCCTAGGCTGATATTTCATTGTTCAGTTTCTTATTATGTTTTCTCTTCAGATGTTTTTAGGAAGTTTGTTCATTGTCAGCAGATTTCTATGATGGTTTTTTCTTTCTATATGCTTAGGATGCCTGTTCATTGTTTAAATTCTCAGTAATTTTCCGCCAAACAGGTGGTCTTCTTAACGTTTGCAAGTCAGTTTGTTCGTCATTCAGCTGGGAAAGTTTTTGTGGTTCTTTCCAACTTCCTTGGGAAATATGTATGTGCCTAAATCTTTCTGTTTAAATATTTTGGCCAATTGAATTTGCTATGCTTCATTTTTAATTTTGAAACCGTGAAAATTTTGCAGGGAAACAAATGGGAGAAATTAATATATTTTCTATGGAGTAGCTTAGAAGCAGCAATATTTAGCATTGATTCTTCATTTCCTCTAATAATTGGAGATGACCAGTTCAATCACATCGCCACCAAAACCTCAGAGGTGGCATTTGGGAACGTCCATTCTGATTGTCATAATAAAAGTTTTGCTTCTTTCACAACCTCAAGTTCTGCTTCTTTGTTTTTATAAATTCAAATTTGATAAATAAAATATCCTGAGATTCAAGAAAATTCAAATAACAATTCTAAAATTATATATTATTAAAATAAACAAAATTAAATACTTTGATGGGAAAATGATCCATATGGTCTAGAAATAAATATCCACTAGGGCACTCCATGTCCAATTGCGCACTATGAACCACACATGCTTTCTCAAACCGACCCAGCGTTGCCCATGACCCACAGTCCATGTCGTGGATCATTAGTGAGTCACCAAAGTCTAGCCAATGGGCAAGGGGTCGTAGTCCCAGTATATAGATTCCAGGTCCCCCCTGGAGACAAAACCAAGGTCATCTTGATCTGATGCGATCCATTGCTCGGTGGTGCACAGGGGGTATCTCTCGCATATGCACACGCTTTAGGTAGTTCGTTTTCTCGAAAACGGCTAGCAATGTGCATGCCGTGTGATGGTACAAATGATAAAGCTTTGGCCCTGTCTTTGAAAGCCTCCATCAAACACAAGGGTCACACAGTCCCTCGGTTCGCTCTTCCGGGCATACTCTAACCTCATCAAGGGATAATCCATCTAATCCTCATCTGTTTGTTTCTCTATGCCTAGGTAATATGGGTTTTCCTTAACCAGACTGACCTAACACGTCAAGCACGGGCCAGTATTAGCAAATAACGTTTGTTTAGTATGGTCCACATGGGACCACACTCCTATTGAGTTCATGTTCCACTATATTTTCTTTTTACAAGCACTCGTAAGGCCTTTAATGGCCACACGCACCCAATAATTTCTACATATGCGGGCTTGGCCGCATAGAAACCGGATCCTTTCTTTATTTACTCATGCTTGTAGTGATGATTGCTTCATTGGGCATGCATGTGCTGATTCTTGGAATGATGATCATACTTATGGCCTTTATATGTATTCATGCAGTTACTATGATGTTTACATAGATACAGCTAATGCACATTGTGAAATGGTTTCAACACGAATGTGCAAATAGATTATTGATGAGATGACTATCTTCATTCCAGTGCCAAAGTTTCCCATGAATTCTTATGTGGTTATAGACTGTTCATGACATGGTCAGTTGTCTCGTGTTGCATGTCAGAGTTCTCTTGCAAGATGGCTAAAAATTGGCATTATGAAATTAAATTAATAAACCAAAAATATTAGATAGAATTGGAAAATTACAAAAGTACAAAAACAAGAATCGGATAACTGGAACTTTGTTTGAAAGAGTAGTACTTACTGAAACTAATCAAATGAAAACTTTTGGAGTTAGATGTGTTGTTATAGTGGGAAGCTGGTTCATGAACTAAGTGCAGCAAAAAAAAAAAAGATTCTGAAGTATACCTGTGAAATTTACGGCGAAGTCTCTCTCAAGTGAGCCACAATATTCAGAAGGGGTTCGCAGTTTGTGCTACCCGTTTAACCAGATTTTGATTTTCTGGAATTGTGGTGTAACAAATCCCTTGTTATATATGATTTGATATTTTCCCAATTCTTTCTATCTTGGTAAAATCAAATTTTCTCTTTCTTTCTCTTCTGCTCTTGCCTTTAATATAGTTCATCCTCTGAGCATTCAAATGCTTTGTTCTGCTGTATTTTTTTAAATTATTTATTAATTCTTGGTACAGTTGAGTTAACATCCGTATTATAACCTGGTTATGTTGCAGATACGATATGATCACCTCCTGCTTCTTGATTACCTTATCTCAAAAGATATAGGAGTTCTATGTTTGCAATACCTTCTAAGGTACATTACAACTGTTAGATATTACAATCGATTGTCTATATCAGTCTGTAGGCTTTATGAGTGAAAATTGGTCCATATGTCTTGAGATTGATAAAGTTTCCAAACTTTATTAGTCTATGTATTCTACAGTTTATCAGTGATGGAGACATTGGAGCCTGATAATGTAGTCAAGTCTTGTTTTGCCTGGTCCTACCCTCTCTTTTTTACCATCCATTTCCATTGATGGTGATGATAGAATGACGGCAGTCCATTGGATTATAGTTTATGTTTTTTCCTTTTTGAATATCTTCACCTCTGCATAATGTGTTCTCTCCCTGATATAGAATTCTCTCTGGGGAACACTGATAGGGAATTGACATTCTTTGTGTAATTTCTTTATGCTCTTCAATAAAATTCTGATTACTATAAGAAATTAATTTACTTTGCAGGGGCACAATAAAAGGGATATAATTTATTGATTAAGGAATTTCTAATTGCTGCTGTTTATCCTTTTTAGATGTTTGCGGCTAGTTTGTAACTCATGGCCTATATTTAAAGGATTTTCAATGCCTAATCATGAGATGAATCGGTTATGTTGCAAGAGAAGAACGGTCTCAGTGGATGGACGTGATTTTGTGGGGAAGGTACAGCCTCTGTCCTCTTCAGTTGAAGGAATTAGTGCTACACAGCCACCACGAACAGGTCATAAAAAGAGGAAAGGGAAGACTTCAGGAGAGTCGACTTTTGAAAATGCGGAAGAATGTTTGCTGTCTTTGAAGTATGCTCTGGAGAATCTTCCCAAAAAGAACTTGTTCCCTTATAACCCAACTGCTTTATTGAGAAGGTATAAGCTTTATGTTTTCTTTCTCATGTAGTTACTGCTTTGTCTTACCTTTCTTCTCTCTACTGTTAGGCTTCAAATTTTGATTTTCTCAAGTGCTGTAGCGACTGTTTTATTGATTTATGAGAAATTCACGCATATATCCCCCATCATATCCATTATTAAAAACATCTCCCCCAATTTTCGTTTGTTACATGCTTGTCCTTTTTTCCCTCTTTTTTTTTAATTCCCAATTTGCCGCCATTTTAGATCTTCAAGATCTGAAGTCACAAATTCATTTTATGAATTCGGATATTGACGTCCTGAAGTCGGGGCCCCATATACCCCATTGCACCGTAATTGTTTTTTTTCTCCCTCCCTCTGTTTGCCCACCACTTTGGATCTCAAAGATCCGAAATCACCGTGAGTCGAAAATGGGCTGCTGACCTTAGGATTCAAATGAGAAGGCCCTTCCCTCGGGTCTAATGCCCGTTTATTTGGGTGATTGCTCTCCATATGAGGGCAAGATAGGAGGGGCACCCCTTCTTTCTTGAGGAAGTCAATGGAAAGTTTGACCAAATGAGATCAGATCGGGATCAATTGTTGACTTTGGATCTTGAAGATCCAATGTATATTGGACATGATTTTGGATCTTGAATATCTAAAGTCATGAATATGTGACAATGTCTTTGGATCATGAAAATTCAAAGTGATGAATGTGGGGCATGACTTTGAATCCAAAGTCATAGGTGACTTCGGATCTTCAAGATGAAGACCAAAGTCAAAAACTGGTCTAATTACTTTAGGATGTTGATGATTTGAAGTCATGGCAATTTGAAAAGGTATAAATTATAAAAGACAAAAATTGGGGGGATTTTTTCAATAATGGAAATTGTGGGGGATATTAGCATAAATTTCTCTTTTTTTTTTTATTTCTTTATTCGTTTGATAGCATGGGATTTTAGTCCTTGAGGAAATTAGAGGGATATGAGAAGAAAACCCCGATCTGAACTTTGATATCTGAACTTTGATGTAAGATCCTTGTGGAACCACTCTCAGAAGGGATTGGGCCATTGGGGCTTATTAAGGAACAATTAACTAGGGTGAGGGAGATTAATTCTTGTAACCACCAAGGACACATGACTCCTAGGTGGAAGCCACCGCTTTCTTGATGGGCCCTTGTGTTCAATAAAATCGAACCATGGATGGTGATGGCAAGTAGGACCAACACAGAGGACATGACTCCATTGTTGGGTCCTCAAACTCTCCATCCCCCTTCCTCATTCAAATGGATGGCTGTGATGCCTCAGCTCGCCACATGATGGATGTTTCCATCATCTATTAAATTGATACTTCACCATTTACTCCTCTTTAGTTTGAATGCTTGCATCCCTTACAGATTGTATGTATTTTTAACCATTCCTCTTTATGATATGCAGTTTCACGAGATTTCAGAAATTCTGCAGTAACAAAGAGAGGGAAAGCATCGATTACAAAACCTAAATGGAAAAGGACTTGGGAAATTTCCAGCCTCAAGAAGCAAACTTTTGCCATGTTACGTTGGGAATGCGAGAAATGCAGAGTCAGTTGTCAATTTACCGACGTTTTAGATCAAACTTAACTCACTGGGACTGGATTGTGAACAGGGCACAGTAAATCTCCACCATAATCTTTCGCAACAATTGCTTGATTCTGTACATAGAAAAACATGAGATGTGAAGTCCCCTCTTTCTTGGTCTAGAGGTAATTATTTCCTTTGCGAAAATATGTTCCGACCGAGAACTTTAAGGAACACTATGGCCATAGGGCCCCATTTGCATAAGAATATTTGCAAAGAGGACCCATCAAACATGCCATTATTGTCAATTTGTACATTTTACTCTCCCATCATCCCCATTCAATCGATTGATGGGACCGTGATGACCCTATTACCATACTGTAACGTCTAACGAGTCATTAATGGTATATGGACCTTTTTTTTTTTTTTACTGCATTTTATTGTATTGTTTTTTATGATTAATTTTTGTCTGTTTCAAGAGCGAGAAGCAAATTATAGTGTTCTTATACAAATTTGGAGTCAGATAAAGAGGACGATGAATGCCAGTGTTCCAAAACTCGGAAACTTGCCTTGAATCGCTAATGGATGCTATTTCCTATTTTTCTTGGTCATCTAGATTCAATCAGTATCACTCATTTTCAAGCTGATTTGGGTTCGATTTCATACCATGATTCTTTTACTGAAGGGCAAATACGTATGGAGCACGTATAACTATGCTCTTTGCGGGGGCATGCTGTGCAGAAGCACCTTTATTCCAAAGATCCATTTGGAAGAAATATTCGGTCTAAAATTTCGGGAACCATTTAAGAATCACTGGATAATTATTTTAAAAGAAAAAAGTTTGAATTTTGAGTTTGTTTTTGACTGTTGGATCTTGTCTTTCAAAAATTGGACGGTCTCTATTCAATTGTGAAACATTATTTTCTTCTGGTGCACAGAGTTCAATTGGGATTTTTCATTTTTAGTAAGGTTAGTGTGCTGGTTGAAGAGGTTGCATCTTCAAAATTTGGAATCCTAAAATTACTCATATATTGGGTTTTGTTGGTTGGATTCCTAAAATTACTTTTATATTGGGTTTTATACTCTTATATTGGGTTTTATTGGGGGGAGTGAATAGACACTTACTTTTGCAAGACTATAAAATCTTTTAGCTATATATAGAGTACAGTGAGAGTAGTTTACCTTACAAGGAGACCACAATTCCTCTTCTACTTCTTAGATGTCAAATTAAATAGAATTGTCAAATTGGATAGAATTGTGCTGGTTAGAAAGTCCGGAATTTTTTTTTTTGAACTTTGAGGCTTTTCAATGACACTTTCACAACCACTTAATTTGAAATTCAAAAAGATAAAAGTGATTGTGATATTTTTGCACAAAAAGTAAATGATCATCTTGTATATTTTTTCATATATATATAAATATATATAATGTGTATATAAAGTTGATAACCCTAAATAACAAAAAAAAACTATGATGCATCTCAAAAACTCACTAGAAGAAGAGATTTTTGTCTATCCCTGGCTTGGAGTCCAGGTGCAATGAACCTAAGAGAGAGAAAATTAGCTGCTCCCAAATTTTCACCTTGCGGTTCATTGAATTAATAATTGGGCCAGGTAGTTGAAGGATTATGGTTAGTGATTTTGTCTATTCGTGGCTTGGGAGTCCAGGTGCAATGTACCCAAACCATGGGACTTTTCCAATTAGAAATTTAGTCCATTTAATGTTTTGTTTTTGCTTATAATATCTGTTATTAGAGATTAAGTCGGCTTATAGTCTCTGTCATTAGAAAAATTTAATTTTTCGTAAGTCTCTGTCACTCCTATGGGTACACGATAAACAAGAGAGACGTATGCTAATGGAGCTCTGCCATCCCTTAAAAAGTTAAAACACCTCCTCAACATGCAGGAAACCCACATGCACCTCCAGGGCCTTCATCCTCAAGAGCTTTTAAAGTGAGAGAAAGGTCTCCGGGTAAGAGAAAATCAAGAGATTTTGCAGTGAGAGAGTGAGAAACCTCAGAATTCATTATGGGTCTGGAATCGAAACCTTTTGACATGGACCCAGCCTTCATCCAAGCCCCTGAGCACAGGCCCTCAGCCATCTCTCACCAATTTGCAGAAGGTGTCCCCATAATTGACCTCTCTCCTCTCTTGTCGCCCGATTCCAAGAAATCGAACCTTCTCTCTATAGAATTTATAGATCCTGCGACTCTCTCAAGTTTGGTGGATAAAATCAAACATGGGTGCAAAGACTGGGGTTTCTTCCAAGTCATAAACCATGGGGTTCCAATAGAGCTTAGAAGAGCTGTAGAGGAAGTGTCTATCAAATTTTTTGGATTTCCATTGCCGGAGAAGCGAAAAGTTCGGCGAGATGAGGAGAATGCATTGGGGTATTATGATGAGGAGAATACAAAGAATGTGAGAGATTGGAAAGAGGTCTTTGATTTCTCGGTGAGGAGCCCCATTGTAATTCCAGAGCTTGAGGGCGACAGCATAAAAAGTGTCACCACCTTGGCAAACCAGTGGCCGGAGAATCTGCCAGAAATGAGGCATGGAGTGTTTGAATTTTGCTCTTGTGTTATAGATTATTAGGCGTACTTTGACTGGAATTTTCCCAAAATGACAAAATTTTGGTTAGAAATTGTCTCTAGTTTTGGAAAACTATGGTTAATCTTGAATTTCACTATCTTTAGCTAAGATTTGCTCAAAAAACTAGCAAAATGACCATTTCTAGTCTGTCCTTCACCAGTGTACAGAAAATAGACTCGGCCAAGGTGCTAGGGCCTTGGCCGAGTCATCCCGAGTCTAGTGCAGGACAGGGCCTTTTGGCCCAAAAAAATATAAAAAAAATAAAAAATAATTAAACATATAGTAAAAAAAAATTGAAACCTAAAAGACGATTAAAAATGTAGAGAAAAAATGATTAACTGATCTACAAATTGGGATATTAAAAAAAAATAAAAAATAATATAAAAGTTGTGATTATGGGAAAAGAAACACTCACCAATCTTTACCAAATTCATCCTATTCATATACAAAAAGATTATAAAACAATCCAATATTTTTTCATTTTTTATTTGTTTTTAGATTTGTTTTTTGAATTTTTTTATATACGTGAGTTGTGCAACCAACTTAGGGAAACTCGTCTTGTCCCACTGACTTAACCCCCCCTCCCCCTGCTCTTAACAAACAGAGAAATCTTGCCCAAGAATAATTTAGACACTAGTTTAAGTGGTTATACTTTTGGCATGTAGGTTGAATCTTTACAGTCTGTTAAGAAACTCCCTTTTTTTTTCCTCTGAAGGTTGTTATGGAACTCATTTTTGTAGATACATTCAATTTGGTACACCACTTTGACAAGATCAATGAAATGCGAAAAATAAATTAAGAAAAAAAACAAAATTTGCAAAAAATCCTTAAGAATAGTTTGCCCTCTCTCTTTATTTATTTTTAGATGTTTATAGTTTTATGGAGTTGGATTAGAAAATTAAGAGAGTAACCGTTTTTAATCTCTAACCCTATCACTTGATAGGATAGGGGTCCAATGATCTCAACATACATCCTGCATTAAGATTGTAGGCATAAATCATACATGACTATTCTCCTATAAGGAATACATTTTGCTTAAAGATCATTCTCTTACACAATTGTTCTTTAGTGAATGACCTATCTTGTCATAAATTTGCCTGAGTTTGGATCATCTTCATCATTTGTGCTTGGGAACCAACATTGAGATTGATGTCCACAATTTATGTAGAATCAAGTCTCAAAGGATCATTGCCCTATTATTTAAAGAGTGAGATTTGTAGAACGCCGCAACCTTAAACAATCAAAGTACTTGAACAAACAAAGTAAGGTGCACTTTCAAACTTTGTTATAAGATACAATTTTGGTGTCAAAAATTTTTAGGATGGCCCGAGAATTTATTTTTATCTCTAATTATGAAAGTTTAAACTTCAAAAATGGTTCAAACCAAACAAATCTATAAATGTATGAAAATCACCTCTATTAATTCTACTATGGTGTCAACCTTATACAAACTTTTTCCTGATTTAAAAAGAACACATTTTCAGGCTCACAAAATCTAGTGTACAAATAAACCTCTAACTTGTGTGTTGAAGGAGCGTATGCAAAGCATATGCACAGGCCACTCAGAAGCTTGCAGTACGATTGCTAGAGCTCATTTCATTGAGCTTAGGATTGCCAGTCTCACGCTTGAATGATTTTTTCAAGGACCAGACAAGTTTTATAAGGTTGAATCACTACCCTCCATGCCCATCTCCAAATGAGGCACTAGGAGTGGGAAGACATAAAGATTCTGGAGCTCTAACTGTGCTCGCACAGGACGACGTTGGTGGTCTCGAGGTGAAGCGCAAGAATGGTGAGTGGGTCGCTGTGAAGCCGGTGCCAAATTCTTATATAATCAATATAGGGGATATAATTCAGGTATGTGAAAAGATAAAGAACACTAGTTCATTGATTGCTTTTCTCTAACTTTGGGTGAACATTTTCTTGAAATTCAAGCTCAGAATTGTGAGAAAGCATATAGGATTGATTGTTTTCGTTTATCATGTTTTACTTCATGGTGCATATGCGTTAAGCAGCACTGATGTGAATAATGGATAAGTAAAGGTGTGTCACTCCTTAGGGCTGAGAATTTACCCAGTTCAGATCCTAAACCTGAATTTTGGATCCTATTCAGATCTGCATATGGATCCAAGATTTGGATCTGAAATTCGGATTTGGATCTAAAATTTGGATCCAAATGACTATTCGGATCAAATATGGGTAAATGTGAATCAAATATGGTCATTAAAATAGTATATATTAATCTTATAGTTATATATTAATTAATTTATATATAGTATTTTTAACTTTCAAAGACCTTATCCCCATTATGGATCGGATTGTGGATTTGGATCCTATAGATAGTTTTTCGATCCTGATCTTGATTTGGATCTGATCAAATTCAAATCTTATGTATACTTTTTTGATCTAGATCTGGATCTGGGTTGCCCTAGACCCGATCCGAAAAATTCCTACCCGATCATTCCTCAGCTCGAAGTTCCAATTACTATCATAATATACTTTCCCTTTTTTTCCTTGTGGTAGCAACTGGTTCTAGCCACAACCTCAAAGTTGCAGCAACAAGCATCTTCGAGTTGAGCTATGGGATCAAAACCTTTGCATTTATAATTTGATGCATTAACTACGATGGAAACATAAAAATGTATTTGTTTCCTTGTAACTCTCCATTCTTGAAATTTAATATGATTCCCATTGATGAAAATTTATTCTAACAAATAAAGAAGGTATTCAAGAAATATCTATTGGTCACATAAGAAATTAATCAAGCTAAACCTAGATAAAACTGAATTTTCATTATTTGTTCTCATCCATTATTTGCCTTTAACATTTTGTAGGTGTGGAG